TTCAAGGAGTTGCTTCATGGGGCAAGTGAAGTGCAAAACCCTAAAATTTCTTATTAATGTGAAATTCTTTAATAAATGCTATACCCACACCTTTGTCCTGAAATCCCTGTGCTTATTCAGTTATTAGTCTATATCAGTATCTCATTTAATCCTTACAATGACCCTGTGAAGGAAAACAGTAATATTATTTCCTTCTTTTTCTCAGATGACAAAACTAAAACTTACAGAAAGAATTAACTAGCCCAAGTTCAGATCATAAGCAGCAAATCAGAATTTAAATAGAAGGCTGACTCCTTCTGTAACCACAGCACCATGAGCGCTATGCTCTTTGGTCTTATTTAAAAGTAATTTTCTTGATTTACTTTTTTCACTGATATTTGGACTTATGCCTTTGCTTTATGTTATTAAATGCATGAAGTACATATGCTAACCAAATTCTGCTTTTAGAATGGTGGGCACACATTTGTCTTCTGAAAGTTCTAAATCTGAAGCTAAGAACCCAGTGTATTTTGTCTCTTCATAAGATATGACAGAGAATGTATGACATTTTACATAGCAACTCATTCTTGTTTCTTCCAATATTTTTGGCCTTATGGTCACAGTGTGCAGAAAGTTTATAGCACATTAAATTAAACCCAGGGCCAAATTGAATAGCCAAATATAGTAATTGTTTTCTTTTAGATTCCCCCAATAAACATTTTATCTTTATTGAGTATATCTTATTTTCCAATCAGTGTACTAGATACTTGGAATACAAATAACTGAAGTTGGCTTTAAAGACTAGTATGTAGAGGACGTGTGTATATAACAATACTGTATGTAAAATCTATATATAAAATCAATACTGACAGAAGTAGTCGCATTAGTGTTGGTTGATAAATACTGAAGAATTCTGTGAGGCAGTTGCTTGAAATCGGCCGTGTTAGGAATATTTACAGCACAGAAATCTGCAAATGCTATAAATCAAGTTTGGCTTTTGTTGTTTTGCTTTTTTCCATGGGGGAGGGAAGAAAATGTGACCACTGAATTTAGAAAGCCAGTATTTCTTTTAAAGAAAAGATAATATCATATGCTGAGAGTGGAGAGTAATGGACAGTGAAAATGTTTTAGAACAGCTGTTGAAAGAATAGGAAAGAGAAGAGACTGGGGCCAAGGGGAGAAGACACATGTCACACATATATATAGATAATTATTTGGAAGGAAAACTGAAATTATAAATTACCATATAAAAATGATGAAACTGTTACTTTCATATGCAATTTAGATGCTTTGGGTAATGAATAAAAATGAAAGAAAAATGAAGGTTTCTAGCTAATTGGCTTTGTTCCATTAAATTAGGCTTAAGGGCATCATGTGAGATAAGCCTGCCTCTGTCTAAGGTTGAATTCCCTTGCAGTCTTCTGTATAATTGCATTTTCTGATCTGTCAATTAAGTGTTTTTAAAAGTAACAAAGATGAGTTCCATTTGGATAATGTATTATACTTTACAAAGTGCTTTTATTATGTAATATCTCCTTTGATCTTTATTGTTGATCTCTGGTTGACTTATTACTGTATTTCAGTGAAGCTGCTAGATCTCCTACCATATACTTTGAAGGAAGACTCATATAGATACAAATCTGTTTATCTCTGATGACTTTGAGATAAACAGAATAAGCCCAAAGGAAAATAATAAACCAAAGAGCTGGAAATTTATTTAAGAAATAGTTTCATTAGAAAAATAAGATGAAATATGTGGGTTCAATAAATGATGGGGCAATGAAAAGTCATTGTAGATGAGTTACAAATTTGTGAATTGGTCTGTATCCCTAAACTAAATCATAGTTGAATCATTTTTCAGATCAAAAGCATAGACGTTATGTGTCTTTTCTAGAAATAATAGATAAAAGGCTCAAACATAAGTCTCTACTAACTTGCTCTCCCAGATTGGTGATTTTGCAATTTATGTGTTTGTCTGTTGTATGTAAATATTAGAGTAGATATTCTATTCCAACATCAGGAGCATTGGTGAATTACTTCAAAGTTAATTTTCAAGCTTTCCTAGTTGATTCTTCAAGAGAATTTAAGCAGTGGTTGTTAAGTAGAGAGGTTTGGTTTCTTAAGAAGAAAATTCTTTTGACATTCTAGCCTTGAATTTGGTAGTTATTATTGGGATGAACATTTATTATGTGGATGGCGGTAAATTGGCTCTGCCTGAATTAGAAAAATAATCCAAAAGTTAATGCATTTAACTTTTGAGGACTTTAACATTTCAGATATGATCCAACGGGTCCATCCTAAAGGAGATCAGTCCTGGGTGTTCATTGGAAGGATTTTTGCTGAAGCTGAAACTCCAATACTTTGGCCACCTCATGTGAAGAGTTGACTCATTGGAAAAGACTGTGATGCTGGGGGCAGGAGGATAAGGGGACGACAGAAGTTGAGATGGCTGGATGGCATCACCGACTTGATGGGCATGAGTTTGAGTAAACTCTGGGAGTTGTTGATGGACAGGGAGGCCTGGCGTGCTGCGATTCATGGGGTCGCAAAGAGTCGGACACGACTGAGCAACTGAACTGAACATACTTTTCTAGAGCTTTGAAGGCATTAATAGACATAACAGGCATAGTTGTTTAGAAATAAAATACTGGGGGAAGCCAGTATTTTAATGATACTTCTAACTCTTTGGACATTCTTCGATTCACCTTTAAAACCAAACTTTTGAGGCACTTTGAATCTTGCAGGGGACTTTTTCAAGTAACTGTTGTTTTTTTCTATTTAATGATTGTTCCAATACTTGAAGTAAAATATCTCTTTTGGGGAGTTGCAGCTATGTAGTCTAGCCTATGCTAACTTTACTCTGTGAGAATTATGCTCTATGGAACGAAGCCATTACTAACAAATTACAAGAATGCTTAGAGGTACATAACTCACAAATGTGTAGTTATTCTAGGGCATGTTTTAACAGATCACTATGGCATTAAGTGGTCATGTATGGATGTGAGAGTTGGACTGTGAAGAAAGCTGAGCGCTGAAAAATGGATGCTTTTGAACTGTGGTGTTGGAGAAGACTCTTGAGAGTCCCTCAGACTGCAAGGAGATCCAGCCAGTCCATCCTAAAGGAGATCAGTCCTGGGTGTTCATTGGAAGGACTGATGCTGAAGCTGAAACTCCAGTACTTTGGCCACCTCATGTGAAGAGTTGACTCATTGGAAAAGACCCTGATGCTGGGAGGGATTGGGGGCAGGAGGAGAAGGGGACGACAGAGGATGAGATGGCTGGATGGCATCACCGACTCGATGGGCATGAGTTTGAGTAAACTTCGGGAGCTGGTGATAGACAGGGAGGCCTGGCGTGCTGCGATTCATGGGATTGCAAAGAGTTGGACATGACTGAGCGACTGAACTGAACTGATGGCATTAAGAATGTCCCTTCAAATTATATCTTAAACAGAATATGTTAATTTTTAGTATTCTTTTTTACATATGTGATTTAAATCCTCAAATGTTAAAAAATATATATATAAAGACAGGGAAACTGGTCTTTCTACCAATAGAATATGCATCTTTTACCATACTTTAATTACATCTTGATTACTACGAATGCACTTTTACCACTTTAGAAAACAAATGTTATATTTTAAAATAATGAAAATGTTCACTAAGATACTGATGTTAAATTTTATATGAATTTGTTATAAGGAAAGTTCATAGTTACTTCCCTTTTAGTTTCCGTGTTTAAATCAGGCGCACACCATTTACAGAAATAGATTCAGAAAACATTGAGACTATGCTTTGTGGCTGGAATTGTGTAGATAAATCATCACATTTAATCTCTAAACAATTTTATGAGCTATTAGTATGCCTATTTCATAAATAGAGTAATTCAAAAAATATAATACAAGTTTGGCAGTATTTATAGTCTTGGAGATAAAAATTGAAATGATTACTACCTACAGCCACAATATTCTTTTCATTATATCTCAGTTGCTTCTGTACCAAAAAATGTTTGGTTTCAGCAGCGACAGTCCCTCTGGACCCTGATACATAGTCTTTTACTTTCCTACTTCACATTAAGTAAGGAACCTTGAGAGTCAGAATCAAGGTCCACTGTTGCTCATGGAATACAGAGCAACCCAGAGGCCACACAGAGCATTAAGACTATCGGGCTGGTGGTTGGAGAAGCTGAGGGACTCAAGGATTGCCTTTTGGAAATGCTTCACTGCCGGGATTTGTTAACAAGAGTTTATAACACAAAGATAGTTTATAGCCCAGAAAATTGAGACCAGTCATAACAAATATATGTCCTAGAAGTTAAAAATTACTTTTTGAGTAGAAAGTGAAAATTCAGCCTGTTTAAAACAGTGGCCATATCATAGAATGAGAGTGCACGTCTATGGTCCATGATGTAGGGATAGTGCAGTCCAGTGGTTTCTAAATCCTTTTTAAATAGAATCACTTTCATTCCAAGTAAAATCTCACCCTATATTTCAATCTAATGGATAGTGGTAGTTTTCATTTTGCAAGGAAAAATGTAAGCTTTTAATTATGATAAATTTCATGAATTAAAAATAGGCACTTAAGGTGAATGCAAGTACTTGAAATGTTGATTTTTGAGTGAAATTTGTCAGATGTATCTGTTTCTCAATTTTGTCTTGGTTACCCAATGAGTAAATATGTGTGGTATGTAACACATTTGATTGTGTGTGTTCCTTTGGTTTGGAAAGTTGGTTTTAAAAATTCAAACCAAATATTTGCACAGCTGTGATTCAGTTCAGTAATACAACTAAAAAACCGTGGGATCGTGGATGTCCATTACCTTCAGTAGCATAAGGGCTAGTCATTCTGAATCTCAGCATGGTGCTTATTCTCCTGATATTTTCTGAAAAAGCTACCCTGACTCCTGAGAATTAGAGCATTCGTTCATTTTCATGTTCTTCCTTTTTTTCTGACCCTCCTTCTCTTGGTCTATGAAAAAGAGCTTCATGTATATTTACATCATCATCAAATTTTCTATTATAGGAGCAGCAGAAAAGAGTTCTAAGCATGGTGCAGAAGATAAGACTCAAACCATTATTACAGCCATGAAAGAAAGAATGAAGATCAGGGAGACAAACAGGCCAGAGGTGTTTGAAGTAATTCAGGAAATGTTTCAGATTTCTAAAGAAGATTTTGTGCAGTATACAAAGGCAGCCAAACAGAGTGTATTGGATGGGACATCTAAGTGGTCAGCAAAAATAACCATTACAGGTAAACAAGTTATTTTGAAAACTTTTATTCCACTTTGAGATTTTTATATATCTTAGAAATCACTGCTAATAAATGTTATAGGCAAAATAAGTAGATTTTTTCAGTCTTGTCAACTTTGAAGTCTAATTGAAACTTCAGATTTCTAAAAGGTATGGTAGATAATTGAAGTCATTTCAGTCCATGTCTCATTCTAATCAAAAGTCATGTCTAATCTAATCTTCTCTTCGAGAGGAAGAAAATTCTGTTTTATAATATATTTGTCAATACCCTGCAGTTTACAAGAGATTAATTTTGTTGCTGCCTGACACTGATAAATGACAAGAGTAGCCAATAATCTCTTTAGTAAATTTTTCTTAATGAGAAAACAAATATCATTTTACTTACTCCTGGATCAATACCCCTTATCCATTTGATCCTTGACTCAATACAATTTGAGTGTAGTGATGTCTAGTAATTTGAACTTCTGAAGTTGCTCATAATAGTAACAGCAACTGCATAGGTTATCATGTGAATATTTACCAAGCCTCTTAACTCACTCATATTGTATTCAAAAGGTAAAATAAAGAAGCTTCTCTTTAATATTGATAGTAAACTCATGTACACAAAAACATTTTAAATCACAGACTTTGAACTACATTGGATAATTCAAAATATTTACTGAATTAATTAATTGGCTTAATGTTTGTGCATTCTCATTTGTCTATACATGCATGCAGTGACATATGAGTATATAGCTAATAAATATATGTAGATGTATGTCTACAGCTACTGTTCATTACAGGCAAAAGGAAATATTAGCCAAAGAAAGGTTTTAATGTTGTGTGATTGATTCTTTCATTTAACATTTTGTTAAATCCTGTTGTTCATGAGACTGAAAGCAATAGGGATGTGTCTGCAAACCCAGGGAACAAAATAATAGAAAACATTTCCTTCATTATCAGTTTTTTGTTTCTGCAAAAATACTTATACTAAAAGTTTGAATTTGGTTTATTTCAGTGGTTTCTGCACAAGGCTTGCAGGCAAAAGACAAAACAGGGTCTAGTGACCCGTATGTTACAGTTCAAGTGGGAAAGAACAAAAGAAGGACTAAAACCATTTTTGGAAACTTGAATCCAGTATGGGATGAAAAGTTTTATTTGTAAGTATATAATGGAAAACTATTAAAATACTGAAATATTTGAGGATAAATTTACAAGCATGCAAAATATGCAAGCAATAATTATTTCATATTTTAATTGTATCTGTGCAGGAATTATAAAAAGATGTTGTGAACTGATATTGTGAACTTATTTAATACTCATAATATATATTATTTGTTCCTCATCTTGAGAAGCAAATGAATAAAAAGAATATTACAAACAAAAAAGGTGGCACAGCTGGGATTAGTTTGCAGAAGAAAAAAAAAAAAAGATTGCAACATGATCTGTAACTTGAGTTGACCCAGTATAGTGAGGAATTTACAGGCTTGATTCAGCAATATCTTGACATCTGAAGATTTATGACTGAAAACAGTAGAAAGACTGAGCATTACATGCCCTATCACACCCATACCAGCCTATACTGATGAAATGGTTGATGATAACTTTTAGAACCTCTCATTTTCTGTGCATCATTTATTTTTAAACCTTTTATATCCTGTGCCAAACAGCAAGGCATCATTTTTCAGTCAAGGGTTCTTTTCTTTCTGTCAATCCTTCTTGAAGAGAGATAATATGACTTCCGGTTACCATTTGTTGGAAATGAAAATGCCAATCTATGAGTTTAAAAGTAAATGATGCTTTTCTCTCTCCTTTCTTTGTTAGTGGTTTAAACATGGATCTCCTTTACGTGCTAAGTAAGCAAACACAACACATAGAGATTGCCTGGCAATGTGGGAAATAGTGTGCATGAAATAAGAGCTTCATGTGTATATTGGCTCAGAAAGTATTAAGAAAAGTGTGGGGAAAAAAAAAGGGTGTGGAAAATGAGTTGGGACCCAATAACAGAGGGTACCAGAGAGAGTGTTGAGAGCTTTCTGTGACTTCTCCCTTCAGACTACTATTTTACATTTTACATTTTACTATCTGTTTGTTAACAGAAGATAAGAAATTGATTGATAGTCAAATATTCTTATTCCTAAGGCAGTCAAGTAAGTGAATAAAGCAGGATAAGGACCATAAAGGAGAGGGAAAGAACCTGCTGCAAACTTGAGAGCAAGTGACTCATGGGCAAGAAACATCTCCATTGCCATGCCGTCTTGTGGGTGCAATGTAGCCAGAGCTTCGTTTTGTAGGAGAAACTGAAAATTTGAAAGTTCAAAACCAGCAAAGTGAATCAGTTATACATATACATATATCAACACTTCTTTCCCCATATAGGTCATTATAGAACATGAAGTAGAGTTTCCTATGTTATACAGTATATCATACAGTCTTGATATACAGTATATCATACAGTTTATTTTTAATAAATAAAGTCTTAATATCAGGCAGTCCTAGTTTTCCAACCTTTTCTTTTTTCAAAGTTATTTTATTTATTTTAGAACCTTTTAATTATTTTCATGTGTATGTTTTAATCAACGTCAGTTTTTCATACAAAGTAAAGCCTGGGATGGTTTTGATTGCTTTATTCTCTTGGCTAAGAGTTCCAGTATAATGCCAAGTAAAAATGATAAAAGCAGACATCCTGGCTTTGTTCCTGATACTAGAGGGAAGAGGTTCCTTTCTTGATTAGCTCTGATATTAGCTGTGGGCTTGTAGATGCCACTTTTCCAGTTAAGACAGCCTTCTTCTACTTCCAGTAGGCTAAGAGTTTTGATCAGAAGTCAGTACTGCATTTTGTCTAAGTTTTTCCTGCATACTGAGATAATTGTCTGATTCTAAATGTCATTTTGAAAAATATACTTGGACAATATTGTTCCATTGTGTTTGTGTTTTCGTTGCTTTCTTATTTTTCATGAGAAATCTGTTGTCTTCTTTGCTTCTTTGTTCCTCTGTACGTGTTATCCCCCACCCCCATGATTGCTTTTAAAGTTTTGTTGTCTTTACTCACCTGTACAATTTGATTATGGTCTTCCATGGTTTAATTTTCTTTGTGTTTCCAGTGCTTAGGGTTTATTGAACTACTTGAGCCCATGAGTCTGAAGTTTTCTTTAAATTTGGAAAAAGTTTGGCCATTATTTCTTCAAATATTCTTTCTGCTTCTGTCTTCTGGAGGTTTCACTTACACATATATATAAAGCCTCTTGAAGTTGTCCCACAGACCATGGATGCTCAACACCCCCACCCCTGCCCCCTTTCCTTCTCTGTATTTCACTTTAAATTATTTCTATTGCTGTGACTTCTTCTTCTGTAATGTCTGATCTACTCTTAATCCAAACCACTGCATTTTTCATCTTAGATGTTTTAGTTTTCACATCAGGAAGTTCAGATTGAGTCTTTGCATCTTCAGCAACTCTACCTAACTGTTTTAAAAGTTAAGATGTACTTGGAGGAGGTGAAGTTCATGGGAAAATTGAAGAGCCCATGTAGGGATTTCCCAATATACCTTCTACTCCTACACATGCATAGCCTCCCTCTATTATTACCATCTCCCAACAGAGTGTGGGTGTATTGTTACAATTGATAAACCTACATCAACACAAGATAATCACTCAAAATTCATAGGAGACATAAAATTTCTCATCGTGTTTATATTCTATATATTTGGACAGATGTATAATTACATGTATTCATCATTATGGTACCAGGCACAGCATTTTCACCACCTTAAAAATCCTCTGCTCATCACCTGTTCATTACTCCTCACTCCACCAATTCTTGACAACTACTGATCTTTTACTGTCTCCAAAATTTTGCCTATTCTAGGAGGTCCTATTATTTTGAGTTATACAATATGTATCCTTTCCAGATTGACTTTCCATTTAGTAATATACATTTAAGGTTCTGTGTGTTTTTTTTTCATGGTTTGATAGCTCATTTCTTTTTTAGCACTGAATAATATTTGTCTTGATGTACTAGAGAAATATTATCTTGAATTTATCCACTCACCTACTGAAGAACATCTTGGTTACTTCAAAGTTTTAACCATTATGAATAAAGCTGCTGTACATAACGCAGGTTTTTATGTGGACATGTTTTCTGCTCCTTAGGGTAAATGCCAAGGAGTATGATTGCTTGATCATATGGTAAGAGTGTGTTTAGTTCAGTAAGGAACTGGCAAACTGTCTTCTAAAGTGGCTGTACCTTTTTGCATTCTCACCATCAGTCAGTAATAGTTCTTGCTCCATATTTGCTCTAGCTTTTGACATTACCTGCATTTTGAATTTTGGTTGTTCTGATGGGTGTGTAGTGATACTTTGCTGTTGACTTATTAATACTGTGATTTTCATTTAAGACATACTTTATGGGATATCTTTTCATTTGCTTATCTGACATCCTTTTTATTTTCTTTGATGAGGTATCTGTTAAGGTTTTGGGCCCATTTTTCAATCACGTTGTTTACTATTATTTAATTTTATTATTTCTTTGAATATTTTGGATAATAGACTTTCATCACAGGTGTGTCTTAAAATACTTCCTCCCCATCTGTGGCTTGTCTTCCCATTCCTCTGATACTGTCCTTCTGTACTTAACTTTCTGATTCATGCATTTATTATGACAGTTGTTTTTATGCCCTTAACTGCCAATTCTATCATCTGTGTCCATCCTTGGTTAGTTTTGATCGATAGATTTTTTTTTCCCTTATTTTGTGTCATGTTTTTCTGCCACTTCATGTGTCTAATGGTTTAAATTGGATAACAGACTTTGTGAATATTCCCTTGTTGGTTACTGAATACTTTTAACATCCTCTAAATATTCCTGAGCTCTGTTCTGAGATGTAGTTAAGTTACATGAAAACCCTTTAGTTCTTCAGGTCTTGCTTTTAAAATTTATTAAGTGGAAATGAAACAGCACTCAACTTCAGGCTAATTACTCCTCCTCTTGCTGAAGCAAGACTTTTGCATATCCTCTGCTAACTGACTCATGAATGATAAACTTTTCTTATCTGTGCAGGAGACATAAGCACTACTTCTGGCCTTGGTGAGTGCTGGGCATTGTGACATCTAATTATTTTGAGGATGGCTTCTAACCTGGCCTTTGGTAGTTTTATCACGTGCATGCACTCATTACTCAACTGATTGCTCAAGATGAGCCTGTAGCAGATTGGAAGTTGTTTTTTTGTTTTTGTTTTTTTCAGTTCAGTCCTCTTCTTTTTGGTAGCATGGTCTGTGACTCCTAACTACTTTGGTTTCCTCAGATTTTCAGCTCTGTCTTTCTAACTCAGAGAGTCCAGAGGACTCCACCTGGCTTTCCTCTCTTTGCACAGTGGCCTGGAAATTCACTCAGGGAAGTAAGCTGAAGTAATGGTGAGGCTCACCTTGTTAATTTTGGGGGTTTTTTTGGTCTTCTTGAAATCACTGTTGACGAATCTTTAGTATATTGAAAAACAATATTTCAAATATTTTGCTCACTTTTTGACTTTTCATGTGAGGGTATATCTCTAGTCCCTGTTACTCCTTCTTGACTAGAATAGAAAGTCTGGAACTTTGAATTTTAACTGGTTAGCAGAACAAAATAAGATAGTGTGAGAGCCAACACAGAACATGTGAAACAGGGTGCAACATCCAGATATATGTGATTCATAGGTTGCCAGTTGCAGTCTATGAAACAAAGCAGCAGTCCCCAACCTTTTAAATAAAGCACCCTTTAATGTTGTAGTATTATGTCGACAGCACTAAACAGACATTACCACAGAAATGCTGTAGTCGAAATAGCCTAGTTTTCTAATCCTACAAAGGGCCTCCTTTGACAAATCATCTGAGTAATGATACATGCATGCAGTGAGAAAACTGCCCCAAATCAAGACAAGTTCCACCGAAAAGAACTAGATATGACAGCGTCCAGTGCTCATTCATGTCAGGAATAGTGTTTGGCCCCACTGTACAGGTCAGAAAATGTCATGGTTCATGGGCTGAGTATATTGAAATGGGTAGTTAAAATATGAGTTTTTGATATGCTGATTGGCAGTTTTTCGTGTAATTTACTGTATGCTTGGTTTTCCTTTTGATAAGAGACACCACATACTGGCAACAACAATATATGTATTTTTTAAACAGCC